CTTCTTGCACTAGTCAAGCAGCCGTTCTCGGTGCTTTGTTATAATAGCTCACTCTCGCTATGCTGTGCTTTCTCCCGGAACTTGTTTGAGCGGCAAACGAACCCGGTGCTCTTAGAAAGACGCTGCGGCTCTGGAATCGAGCATAGTTTTGTTTTTTTTGTAACAGAATAAAAAGTTGGGCGAGTTGGTGTATATTCATATTAAAAGAAAAGCGGCGCACAAAAAGACAGAGACAAAGAAGAGAACCACACACAGCGCTGTGTGTGGTTCTCTTCTTTGTCTCTGTCTTTTTGTGCGCCGCTTTTCTTTTAATATGAGTTTTGTTTTTCTTTCCCATTTTCACCTGTATGTCTCATGCTCTCAGTTTTTCTCGAAGTTTACGATAAGTCATTTGTTTGCTGGGTGCCAGGTTCCCGTCTATTCCCCAGTTTTCAGGACCGTAATGTTATTCATTTAGGGGTAAGGTAGAGGCAGGGGGCTGCTCTGCGTTTGGGTTGACTCTTGCAACCGTTGCATCCTGAATTCTCTATTCCAGGTGGGGAGCATGATGCGGATGTTCTCCATTCACCCCCCCCCCCCCCTCATTTCGTACGTTTTCTTTCTTTCTGGTGCCTCGACGCACCACAGAAGACTTAGCCTTTGTCGACCACCCCCCCTCTCTTTTTTTTTAAACGTAGAGAAATTTTATTTTCCCGGCTCTGTATGATTCGCATGTTTGTTGTTTACTTTAGATTTAGCCTTCGCAACAGGTATGCATCCTCGATTTCCAAGCGCGCGTGAGCTCGTTCTGTGTGCGGTTTCGCTTGTTTAGCTCACGTAATGCCGCGGCACGCGAACTATTTCTGTGCCGTTGAGGTAATGTCATGCATGGAACCAGCGCTAATTTGCAATGCAAAACATCCGCGGTTTCCTCTTATGCTGAGGTTCATAAAAAGAGTGCTGTTGGGGAAAAACCACGATGTGCGAGGTCCGCAGTTGGTCACAGCGCTATAACGATGCAATGCGGAATCCACCCACGCTTCGTATAGACTATTTTACATAAGATGTATGGGCACTGTGATCTTGCGCTGTTAAATGAAAAAAAAAAAACATTTAAAAATTGTATCCCGTGACGTGAATTGATGAGGTCAGAAAACGTTGAATGCACCAACCCTAACCACTTTTGTACGTATACGTTCACCGTTACATTGTTAGTTTAGTTTTTCAAGATAAAAAAACACCAAAGTGGACATGCAGGCCAATATGGCGGCTCAGAAAGCCATCCAACAACAGTACTGCCGTTCTCTTACCATCGAGTTCTCAAACGTAGGATGGCCACGTACCATCCACCACAGTGATCCATCTGCGTATAGTCGTACATTTTGATATATATGCGCACATTCCCTCTCAAAACTACGTATATGCAAGCTTCTATCTAACTATATAAAATTAACATTCTGTGGAATGAAGTCGTGAAGAAGTATGTTTGCTTTGTTCTATCGGGGCTCGCGGACTTTCGAACTAACCGTTTTGAGGCAGTCTACGCACATTGTAGTAGACGATAAGTAAACTGCCGTAAGAGAGAATCTATCTGTATTCGATTGATAAAAAGACTTACGAAAGTTCGCATAAGAGATCTTTCATGTATTCCCTAAGTGTAATTTTTTGTGTTCGGCGACCGCAGTCGTGTCCAAGCTGAAGATGTGCTAGAAGACTTCAATAGTTGTGCCAGAGTACGTGTATCCGTCATTTTTCCCCTTTACTGGTGTGTGCACACACTCGAGTACGTATACGCTCGAACAATATTTATCTTTGTTTTGATAGATGGCGACTGGACGACTACATTTTGGGTGGCTGAGGACCGAAACCGTGATGGCGGTAGACTGTGGTAGCCGCATGATTTTAGCCTGGCGAGCGAGGCGAATGACTACGCTGCCTGAACATATATGTTCACGCGATAGCGTTAGAGAGCTCGTTACGAAGACATTCCGGCGTCGGCGTTGGTGTAGGTGCATGTTAGCGTCAGTGTTCGTTGGTTGCGAACGATAAGTCATCTTATGCGTGACCGAAATTAAAAAAAAGAACTGATAAAAAGCTTTTTGGGGATCGAACCCGGGTCGTTTGTCGGGCAAGCGGATGTCCTGCCACACGGCCACGAGTCTCCTTGTGAATACAGCGAAAATACCTTCCTCCACTTGGAAATGCAGTGAGCGTAACTTTCATGCTTTACAAACACACGCGCCCTGTATACATGCTTCATTATACACCTTGAAATATTACACTAATATTACGTGGTATAAGCGTACAGTGCCATCGGGCGTAAGAACACGCAATTATCACAATGAATTCACGGTTTAAAGCTGGTTAACCACTAGAAGAAGCACACACGTTACTGCGCCGATTTCCCTAAGGCCACGTGATGGGAACATGACAAGTTCGAAAACACTTCGTGCACTAAACGTTTGAAGCACGCTCTAGGGACAGGATATCGCCATCGCGTTCAACTCCTCAAGGCAAAGCACAAGAGACCCACGATTTTTCGTAATCTTCTCGGAATATGTCATTACACGTCTAAAAAGAACAAACACTACTCGCGAACGCTAGAAAATAGAAACGCGAAGATTCTTTGTACACTGTTAGATTTGAGAATAGAGTGTTCTCGCATGTTTGTGGGGTGCGGTATCATCTCATGTGGTGCATAAGCACGTGGCGTTTATAGAACACGGCTGATCGGTTCTCTGTGTGTATACGTGCTATGTGGTTTGCTATGCATCAGCAAGTTTGTATGAGTGCCGTCGTAACCGTGTTTGAACACACGCAATCACATTTACGACAGCACACACACAAGCTTGCCATGTAGCAGGCAACATAACAAGCTCTTTGCTGGTCCACGTGAAAAAAAGGGAAGGCAAAACAGGATGAGTGTAGGTGTTCGCGATGGAGCCTCGTATCCAGTCGTTTCATTTATCCGTACGCCCCCTTACCAGCGCGGTGCCGTACTCGAATTGCGCGGTGGCTCGAACGAGCGAGCAGACATCGTCGGCTGCAGTGGTCGACGTCGTTCCAGCTGCTCAAGCGCGCACCCGAGACACGTCCGTGTATAAGATTGCCGAGCGTTTCGACCGCGGAGCGAGTGCAGCGTGTATATACGCGCCGCCTCAATTTCCGCTCGTCGTATGTGAGCCTCTACACCGGCTGCGATTCACGGTGCCTCGTGTTCGGATCGGCACCGTCGTCTCCTCTACGACTGTTCCTTTCTTCCGCACCAGCGGTGACAGCTTCGGCGCCATCTGTGCCGTTCCTAGAATCTATCCTTTTCCCCCCTACCGCATTTATTTCCACCGAGCCTTTCTTAGAAGATACTTCTTTGGGCTCAGATTTTTCTTCGGCCAGCTTATCACTACTGGACCTCGGGCTAATGACCGGCTGTCGTGACCAACGTTGCGTTTTTTTGTTTTATTTCTATCCTTTCCGCAGGACAGCTCGCAAAGTCGGAAGTCACTCGCAGGATATGACAAAGCCGCTATCGTGATGCTAGCTATTTCTGGCCGGTACGTATACGCCAGCCGTGTTGGGGGATTGACGCGGGCAAAGCATTCAGGTTTGTGCCTCGGGGCAGTTTATTGCGACGTCTGCGTGAGATCTAGCGGTAGGAAAATAAAGTAATAATAACGAAGGGTGGCTGACTTCGCTTCTTTATTTAATGCGCTTGTGCGCTGGCACCTCAGTGACAAGAAACGCTGATGAAAAGATTTGACGTGTAAGTTCCATGACACCAGCCGATCAAGTCCAGGAAGGTCAATACACTGTTCAGTTATTTCGGACACCAGACGCTAACTGGAAGTAAGTAAACACATTGCTCTTTACTTAATTTCGGGATTTTCTATTGCCATTTTGCTCGTTTCTTTTCAGTTTTCATTTCATTTCATTTCTTTTAATTTCATTTTCACTTTACATTGTTTTTTTAGGCTGGGAGAAATGAAGTAGCCGAGGAGACAGCCTCTTCACTGCAAGCAAGTTAAAACAAAACATAGGCTCAAAAAAATTTAAAAAAGAAGAAAAACTTCGGCGTAATCTGTTGGATTAATCATCTATATTCTGAATGCGACTAGTTTTAAATTAGTGTTGCAAGCTACCGTGGTAAAAATACTATTCATTGCATCGATAATTTTCTATTACTATCGACAACATACCACAAAGTATCAGTGGCATTCCTTTCGATGGCGTAATCAATACTTAGATATTATTAACATTTAACATATGGCGCTACAAGAAGGATCACTATTTGCACTTTCACTGATCCGCTGCTCACGGTATAATCTGTACTATTAGAATCTGGGCTAGTGATATTGCCATAAGCTTATGAATAACTGACCATTAGCAGTGCCTTTAATAATGGAGGCACTGATACCAAGGCTCTGTTCATGCAAATGGGAATAAACTTTGCTAAGCTTACGTTGGTAAGTATAGTTGGCGTTGCACGGTGTAAATTTACGTCACATTCGAAGATCTTCTTCGGAGGCTATATAGTTGGTGAAACATCTTGAAAGCAACGGTGCAATTGAAAAGCATCACTAAAGTAATACAATACAAGGCACTCGTCTTGTCTTACTTTCGTGGTGTATAAAATGGGCCTTTTCTTCGATTTACTTTACAGAAAGCATGTTCGACAGTGCTATGTACGCGTGGCGCTTCCCCAACTTGTCTGCATGGCGCTGGCCGGCGGGTGCACGGTCCCTGCTCCATTCGCCCACGTCACCAACCCGTGATAATATCAGTAGTGCGTTAGTGATAGCATTATCACAACTGCGCTTCCGACTCTACTTAGTTACTGTTTGATTCATTCGCGTGTTGGTCCTATCTGCCTTTCGCGGAGGTGCTGAGACGGAACATTCTTAAATCTCTGACAGCACAACAAATGACAAAATGTTAGCAGGAGCCTCGATCAACTGATCATCTTCAACCGATACAGCGGTGCTGTTTAGGCGCTCTTAGGCCGTTCAGTATGCGTGGTCTCTCACCCTGTTGTACAGTCCAGCGGCGTTGAGCAAGTCGAAAGGTAGCGCGGCCAGCAGGTCTACGATGAACCAACCACGCAGGTAGTTGAGGGCCACCGACTTGGGCTTGGCCACCACCTCACCCTTCTTGTTTACGAAGGTCGTGCGGAAGTTGAGGCCGATGTCTGCATGAAAAAAAAAAGAAAAGCGTAATGATATGAGGGACACATCTCAAAGTGACGGGATGAAATGTTTGTATTCAGTCTGTTATTTGTTCTTTACGTAAAGCAACTACGAAAACAGGTTGCGAGATCGAATCTCGGTTGCGGCGACAGAATTTTCGGTGCAAGGGAAAGTTCTCGAAGCCCGTATACCTAAATTTAGGTCCACGTTAAAGAAGCCGAGATGGTGAAAATTTCCGAAGGCCTCCATTACGGTGTCCCTCAAGATCATATCGTAATCTGGGGACGTTAAACCCTATCAGTTATTATTAAAGTTGTCATCAAAGACGCGGGACTTCAATACAGAGTGTTAAAGCGCCTATACTCCTCACTTCAGATAACTAAAGCTTAAAACCTTCAATACGGCATTTGCAACGATCGTGTGTACTTTTTTACTGGCTTAACTGCACAGCCTATGAAAGACTCTAATGTCGTACTCCATTAATGAGGCTTATCGTTTTTAAATTGTTGTTGATGTGGATAAAATTTGCAACCGAAATTGGTGACCTGACTGACATGATCTGGCGTTGTCTTTTTTTTTTTTAGAAAGCAAATATTCCCGTCTGATATTTATTTGGTACTCTGCTTACGAAAATCACGCTTTCTGGGTCCTGCTAAGGAGGCATAGCAAGCGGAAAGCACAAGCATTTTGCCTTGGTAATGCTCGTGTACGATGCCAAGAAACCACCACAATGGCACCCCCCCCCCCCCTCTCCTGGAGTGCTCTCTTGTTGTGTTTCACAAACGATTTCGACATTCCACTGGGGCATCATTCCACCGCAACGAAGACACCAGGACCAAGATGAAAGAGACCAGTGGTGTGAATTCGTAACAGGCCATTGCCGTAAAATTTATGTTGTGCCTTCTGGCGACCTTGGACGGCGCTTAAATAGCAGCGTGACGCCTCTAACAAAACTATATAGCACAACGACGCAGAATTTCAGCTATGTAAATAAAAAAAGAAAGGCACAGCGCACATTGTGGGGCATGCAACTACGAATATGACCAGCTTAGCGCGTCGGTGATACACTGCCGGTCTTGGGGGTAAATTTTTAGTGTTGCTTCCTTCGTCGCGATTATTCATACCCCCAGGTCGACGTTGCCGATGTCGCCATCTGTGCATTGCTAAAACGGGTTGCCTTCTCTTAGGCGGGTGATGATGCAGCTTGATGACTGTTCTCACGGGGGCGCCATGCTGTGGCTGTAATATGCATGTTCTCCTGTGTGCGCGCGCCAGTGTGGGGACAGAGTGAATGTTCGCGTACGCTGTAGCTGCTTTGGATGTAATATTAAGCTCGCTGTGTCGCCACCTCGTCTGGGACATGGTCGCAGCGAAACATTTACGAGAACGAAAGGATGAGCTCCTGGGATGACACGAACAATGGTGCGCGCACTGAGAACGTCAGAGAAATGCAGTAGCATGCCGCACTTCACTTAGCGCGTGTCTCCTTGCGTGCGCCCATGAATAACCTGTAGTGAATTCGCTTATTGCTCGCCGTTACCGGAGGATCGTCAGCTTGTCGAGAAAATAAGCAAGCCGCCATATACAGTGAGACACTGTTTGCGGCCGTTAAACAGATAGGAGTCCAAGAAGAAAAGTGCTAGTCATGACGGCTTTGTTGCTATAGTTCACTTACCGCTGGTAGATGAAACTGTAGTGGTACTTCTGCGGAAGGTGTATTACGCATATACCTCACATCCCATTTGAACCTGAAAGGAAACATCACATCAAACATTCAATATAGCAGGGAGTCGGTAGAACAGTAGGCAGGGTCATTAATTAATCAAGGCTGGTCACTCAGTTTTCGTGGGACAAACTCGTCGCCTTGCGGTTCATGGCACTCTGACGCATAAAGATGTAACGGAACGTTGTTATAGTTAGCGGGCCGTCGACTTTACGGGGCGATGTAGTCTGCGTTCTATAGTGAAACAGTTTTGTGACCTTCGCGTTTACTCCCGAGCGGCGAGTGTCTGGCAGACTCTGGCGACGGTGGCTTGATAAAAGTACCAGTGTTGTACACACATACTCGTTACACTTACGCTAACGCTTTTCTGGTTCCACTTCTTTTCTATCCCCAATCAGGTAGTAATCTATAGGATAGATAGATAGATAGATAGATAGATATATAGATAGATAGATAGATAGATATATAGATATAAAAATCTGAGGTTAGGCTTAAAAGTCTGGAAAATATGTTGATGCTCAACGTTGCACATATCTGCCTTTTTATTTTCCGTTTTTCACCTGCGATTCCATAAACTGCGTGAATTCAGCATCTAAAGCAACGAACTAATCTTTGAAATACTATCTCCCACTATGCAATAAACGAAAACGATACAGGCGGAGAAACTTGAAAGGCATCAGTTGTGCTTAGAATGAGCGACGAAATACAAAAGACAAAATAACGAAGAGCGTTGTGGACGACCACGTACGAGTAGCACGGTCCCCATCGGGGACGAGGCCAGCGAGAGTTGGAGAGGCGAAGATGATCCGGTTACTCGACGACAGCGAGAGACGAGGAATAACGGAAATTGAGCTTGATGGGTGTCGGAGAAGAAAGGCAGGCTCGCTTCAGGAGACGTGACAAGGCTCCGCTTTCAAGAGCGACATCGGAGCCGATGAGTTTCGCGAGCTAGAAATCAATGACAGGCGCGATTGTGGGGTATAGGAAAAAAAAGAGAAACGAATCCCAAAACGACCTTGTTACGCAGAGTTGGTCCTGGAACACTTGAAGAGTGGTTGTTATAAAAGCGTTGTTATATAACTACTATATGCACTACCAGCTTCTCGGGAAGCAAGACATCGGTTTGAACAGGGGAAAAGAGTCAAACCATACATGTGCAGCCTTGATCCAGTGGCCTGACACCGATGGTCATTGGCAACGAGGCACCCCTGGGGAGTTGGTTGCCGGCACCCATTACGACGCTGTATGGCAGAGGATGGAGGATCCAGTCTCTCCTTTCTCGAGGGGGAAAAAAAGGAAGGTGGCGAAAGATGCATGACTGGTTGCTGATCGCAGACGGTCACTTGCGGACGTCGTCGTCGTCTACGCCGTCGCCTTTTCCTTCCCATCTCGCTTCCTCTCTTGGGACCAAGGTCTCTCCATGAGCCGCGGCCTTGGCCGACATGGCTGTGCGAGCGCACAAAACTGTGCAGCATGCGTTCATGCCCGATTCCGGTTGAAGGGGCCTCTACCGCTCTGTCACTCACTTTCTTTACATTTTCTTCAATCTCCCACATCCACTTACCTTGTGCAGAGTAGCATATGTAGCAGTTATTTCAAACTGGTCAACTTCCATGCTCTTCCACGGTATTCATTTCTCCTTCCATTAAAAAAAAATCAAATGTGTTCTAGGAAATGTTGGTGCCTAGAGGTAATGCTTCGGCTGAGTAAAACTTACACATGAAAGTTTCCATTCGCAAAAGCAACGTTCACACGTCAATAACAATGCTCAAGTTTTTTTTTGTATGTGAACATGGTTGTGTGAAACACTGCTTTCCTACCCTTTTGGTTTTAGGGAGGTGTAGAGGGGAAGTGATCCTCAAATGAAAAGAAAAGTGAAACTCGTAACTGTCTCTCAAGGGGGAGGACACCTCAACAGTAGCTCACGAGAAGGGGGGGGGGTAAGCAGGGATTAAAAAGATAGGATTAAAAGGTACAGAGATAGAGAGAGCGTTAGGAGAGAGCGAGGCGCAGGGACAGTGACACAAGGAAGTAAGGAGAAGATAGAAAAGATGGACACGGTCGCAGGAGTCCGTCCGAGGACGGGGCACCACTCGGCGAGACCTCTTGTCGGCGTCAGGAAATGACGTAGGGCGAGCCAGTCGGCCAGAGCTGCGCTGCCGTCGGAGATCGCGGGGACACAACCGGTCGGCACGAAATCCGGCGAGCGAGTCCGAAGGTGTAGCCAAGGATGCCATGATGTACATACGTAGAGGTATTTCGACCGCAGCAGTGGTCGAGGAAAGTTAGAGCGTCCGCCTCCAACGTGCGAGGTACTGCGTTCGAACGCCTGTGCCGCTGGGAACCCAGTGGTGTATAATGGGTGGGGACATGCACCCGGCCTAGCACTCGATGTTGCTGACTAATTTTTCCTAATTGTAGTCTCCTTTCCTCTACCTTCTTTCACTCTTCATTTCCCCCCCAGTGATGCTTACCCATGCAGCCTTTTAGGTTGACGAAGTATACGATCGTCTTATCTTTCAACCGCTACTTCGTAATTAAGAAATTACTGGTAGGTTGTCTGGCTCCACGTGGTGGTATGCGGAAAGGTGTAGTGGTTTTGTGTATAAATCGCTTAGCGAGACGGTCGAGGTGAATTTGTGGCTGTTATCGTTGTAGAGCGAAGCAGCTGGTTAGATACTATGGCTGCGGCACTGGGTTCCATGAGAATGAGATGAATACTTGAGAATGAGATGCTGTTGAGTGAATGCTGCCTCGACGGCTTCATTCACTCAACAGATAGAAAAGATTAATTTCACCATATAAGTGATGTATGATGAAAATAGTGTCATTTGAATGCAAATCATCCGGCTACAGATGTTGAAAATATTCTTAGTTGAGCGCAGTTCTGTTGAACAGCGAGAAAATATATTTGACTTTTCTGTACTTGATAGTTATGTATTCTTTCATTTATTCCCTGTACTCCAGTGTATTACTAGTTATTGCTTGAATGTATTGTTTGTATCCCACTCCTGCATGGGCCTGGGTAGGGCCTGCAGTATCTGTAAATAAAAAAAATACTTAATGAAAACGCACCCTCGTGTCATAATACAAGCCTACGTTAAGAGACGCCACATGGTCAAAATTATCTCGGAGCCCTTCCACTGTGGTTCACATCTGTATTCACATTGTATTGTATGCACATTCTCTTGCTTTTCGGGGTGTCCGGTGACTTCAACCAATACTATGACACTGATTGCTTAATGAGTTTTAGAATCTCAAAACAACATTGTTGTATTG